ACTACGCAACGGATCTTGATGCGGTTTTTTTTTTCAAGAGGAAGGTTTATATGTATAATAAACTGCCCGCGCGCAAAGCCGGGGCGTTTTAGTCAAAGATATATATGAACCCGTTGGGATTAAAATATTTGCTTGTTATGACTATAAGCATGTAAAGGGATACAAAAGATCAGTTTTTATATTTCCTTAAAAAACTGACACAAATAATAAGGAATCTGCAGCGATGTTATGAGATACTCATACGGTGAAGAGTTGAATGTTGTATATCTTAGACGGAACTCGAATTGAAATTTTTATTCGTCTTTTTCCACTTACCGATATTGTAGCTGTTTATCTGATACAATCAGTGATATCTACCGATCTACAAGTTTATTCAATTAACAATTACATCTTGATTGGGTTTTTAAGGATATACTTGCATACCATACGTATCGTTCAAGCTTAGTAATATCGTAAGAATGCTGTTTGTGTATTTTAAAATGCTTCCATACTATCAACTGATATAGAAATAACCCGTTAAAATTAATAAAACTGTGTACCATGTATTCTTCGGTGAAGTCCGCATTCCATATTAAATATTAAACTGCAGCATTTGTGTTTTTAATACAAATAAGTAGACCTTAGTTCTAAATGACTTTAAGGTGAAAAGAATAATTTACACATTTTTATAACAACGGAGTAGGATCTAGAGGTTTTATTTTTTCATAGTAAAATTTCCTTTAGGCGCGAAAATTAAAACAATGGAGGAAAATTACACCGCGTTATTAACGTAAAGAACTATTGTTTAGAACAAAAGATGTGGCGACCGTGATATTAATTTCCGTTGTGTGTTTATTTTAATGCTCGCAGTAACGGAAGCCGACCTTAATTTTTATATTTCGCTAGCCTTTTTAAAATTATGTATAATAAAGGATATTTTTAAGCAACAAGTCGGGATCTGGTTGTTGACTCTTCACGACCTGGTTCTTAATGTCAAACGGCACTCTGATTTCATTGCTGACAAGATCTCATATAATCTTTTGCTAAAAAGGACAAAGATCCAATATGCAAAGCTCTTTTCCTTTATTTCTTAGGCTATGACAGTTATTCTTTTTTTGTAGAAAAATGATTCTGTTTGTAGCCAGGCAAAGAAAGTTAAATATAATTATGTAAATGCTCATTTAAAAAATTCAGTAGACGGGTATTTAAGGAGAGTTGAATTTCCAAGTGACGAATGACGAATGTTTTTTTAAGTTTACGTATGAAATTTATGCAAAAAAGATATACGCAAATTTGCAAAAAAATGTGTTTTCTTGACAGTATTACTCTCGGCTCGCATGTCTTTTATCCTACGTTATCTTTTTACAACACGTCGTGAGCTCTTTGCTCTACCTCGTCTACTATATTAAAAACTATGAAACAATAACACAAATTTTATTTTAGCCTAAAAAATTGTGATTCGTTTCGTTACACATAATGTCATACATACGTTCAATTATCAACCGAAGAAAGTAATTGGAGGTCGACGCGGAAACTTCCTCTGCTGCGGCGGGACGCCGCTGGCTATTCGGAAAATTAATTTCGCAACGAGCCTATTAAATATTTGCCCTCTTTGTTGCGTCGCATCGGGCCGTTGTCACGTCAGGAAAAATGCGCCGCGCTGCAGGAATTTAATCAAAGCCGAAGCCAGGTGCCGGACGTTGTATAAACTAGGAGCGCGCCGCCATTATCTTCGTGTTCACTTATTGCCCCACGATAAGCTTCTCTTTAGGCGAAGCGAGATTTCTGTTGTTTTGTTGTAAATAACGCTTAGTGTAACGAGGATTTTAGCTCTTATCGAAAGCTGTAGCTTAAGATAATGGTAGAATACTTTGGTAAGGCCACGGAACAGTCTTCGTTGTTGCATGAACTGCTAGGTCCGTCCGGGTAAGTACCATGACCCTACGGAAGACCGCCTTGAAGTGGAAGTGTTATTCCTCTGCGTTTCGTCTCGAGAGTGAGGTAGCCTGGGGACACTTTATTAAAAGGTGGCCCGGGCTACGGGTATGCATCTGCAACCCCACGGGTGTGGCAAATGTCAATGGGCAGAAGTGGCAATAGTAGTAGGGAAAAGAACATCACGCAAAAGGCAGCAGGTGCACGGCGTTGCGTGCGTCATTGACCTTCTGTGTGAAAATCGTAGTGATTTTTACGAACAAGCTGTCTTTTAAACTTTTAAAATTTTTGGTCACAGAAGTAAATTTGAATCTTAATAAGCTTGAAGATCATCACGCACTTCAATCAATAAAGCACTCCCTGTCCACCCAAAGGTTCGCTTAGTACCTAGTAGGTCGCTCAGTATTTGACTGATGCAGATTATGCGAATATTAATTTAAGTAATTATAACGCCTCTTTTAAAATATTATTGTTATCGTCTTTACTTGGTATCTTATTTCTTACATAAATATTGTATCTTGAATTTTAATAGAGTCTGGCCCCTTTATCGATTGTATGGAAGTAGCCAAGGAATTGTTAGATCGGTACTGGTTCGGCATTTTCCATTAAAGCCGAAACCGCTCTGCCTGCGTCCACCTCGACAGCGCGGTATCATATTCTTCCCCTCTAAGTGGAAACCGCACGATGCATATCAAGAAACTTACCCGATACCTGCACTCGCGTTCCGCGATAATTTTCATTGATCAAAAAAACCACAGCTGTCTCCTGCGGTTTCGAGATACGATCAGAGGCATACAAAACCTGAACAATGTCAGGGCTGGATACATTGTTGTTGCCGTCTAAATGTGATAATTGGTTCGGCTTTAACAAGTTTATAGTAAGCAAGCGTGTACCTTTAAAGGCAAATGCTATTAACAGTACGCGATCTTTTTATCTTGTCTATATCCGTCATAAATGGCACGTTTGAAAACAATAGACGGGAAATGTTTTGACAACAATGATGAAAACTTTTCTGATTAAAATATTCTTACATCATAATTTGTGAATTCGTTAGCGTTTTTATCATATTTATTGGCTAATTTTCGGTGCTGACAAGATTCCAACCTTCATCTACATGGTAACGCTTCCATATCTTCTAACCAACTGTAATAAGCACAAGTAAATTATTTTATACTTTACCGTAACGTTCTTTCCTTCAAATTTTTTAAAGAGTTGAAATCTTAAGAGTTCTTAAGAGTGTAAGATAATGTGGTAAATGAAAGTAGACGAAGAAAATGTCAGAGCATAAAGAACACCCATCATAATCGACGTACATATTTGTACAGACTTAAGTGACATGATTAAGTCATGAATCAGATGTGGTTCTCTGGTTAACTAGGCTTATTTTTTGCGTCTATGTTGTAGTTATTTTTACTAAAGGCATTAAATTTATGAAAAAAAATATTGCTTAAGGCATTAAATTTATGAAATATGTTACGTACAGGATTAATTAGACTCTGAATTGATTATAAACTGTGTCACGAGGAAGTAACGCGGTGTAAAATAACAAAATCCCACCATGACTCCTGTTGCGTACTGGTAAAAGTGTAAACACTAATAAATTGGGGATACTCGTTACCCTTGATTTGGTATAAGTGTCCGAGTGGGGCAAACTGATTCAGACTCATCCAATTACGATCCCCTCGCTGAAGGAGCAGCTTACTTCGTGGGTTATATTCTGAACATTGCGTACAGTGAAATTAATGTTACTTTAATGAACTTTTCATATATGTTTGATTTTTATAATCAATGTGTATTTATTTACTAATATACTTACGTACATCAACAGCATAACATATAAGTACGTTTTTATACATTTTTTTACAGGCTTGGTTCTTTATTGCCCATTGTATGTATATTTATATATATATTTACTAAAATTCATCTCTTCGACTAATGCGGTTTGAGCTATTGCATTGAGTAAGTTAAATGAAATTATTTTACGGATTAATCGCGATTTATTTTGTTTTTTATTTTCTGTCGTATCAAACATGTTACAACGTTGGTGTAAAGTATTAATCATCAAAATAAAATAAATTTAGATAAAATATGTATTATTTAACTAAGTATCATTCCGGCTAAATGCTGCTGCATGCCGATCGAGAACCAATTTGAAGTTTGAGCCTAAGTTTCCATAGCGTCTTTAATTTGTATTAATAACGCCAGTTCGATTTCGCATTTGGCTCGCCAACATAGCATTTTAGTTGTCTCCTTATATTGTTATCTCCTTGGCAGCCGTGCTCCTATTGAATGTAAATTCATCCCGAACGATGCAGGCTTTGTGAAGGATTGGAGCGGATTAGGTGCCCGTAGCTTCTTAATGGAATAGTCTGTAAATCCGAAGGTGGTTATAGTTCCCTCTGACACAGTGTCACTTTACTATTAACAACAAATGCATTAGCGATAGCTTTTTATGATAACTATCGCATACAGGTGACAGTCCCGTTAGCTACCTTGCATAATTAAATCTAACATTGGTTCATCGCTGATTGAAGATTGCTTTTGTGCTTTTTCGTATCCTTTGTTTTTTCATACCGCTATAATTAGTATTTTACGAAAGACAAGATATACATATGTGGAAAGAAAGTACCATAAGTTTGCCCCAAAAATACGAAACAATACCCAAATGTTTCGTTACAACTCCAAACTACCCTTTCTAATGATTTAATTGTATAAAAATTAACGACCACACCAATAATAATGGATTCTTTTGTTTACAAACCAAGTCATATTGCGTAGAGTTAAAGAATAGCCACCCCAAGATATCGCTAAGGTGTCGAGATTTCCAACGGCCCATTTGCCCCGTAACTGTGTAGATAGAGGAAATTCGGTTATTGGGATTAATGAAAGCGGAAACATCTCGATTTGTTATGTCCATTATAGTAGTTGATATTGTATGGGGCAAAAACTCTTGGACGGAATGAATTGGTTTATACGGCGTGCGAGATCGGAGGCCTTTTTATACATTCTATTTTGACTGTTCGTTGACGTGGTACGATTAATTTTTTTAGGTTAATTTATAATAAAGATATGCTTGTTTGTTTCAGGACAAATCGGGCGAGCCATACTCTGCAAAGTTATCGGTGAAATCGGATTTAAGTCCTGTTTTTGGTGAGTTTTACGTTTATATTGGTACAAATCTTTGGTATCATGAAAAGAAGTTTAATAAAATGTCTTTTAAAAATGTGGTTTTGAATTTAAGAAAACTTATTTATCTTTTAATAATTAGCCTTCTTACTAGTGTTCAAAATTTAAAATCACACTAATTCGAATCAATTTAAATTTATTTACGATAATTTCTATTATAAGAGAAGTAAGTACCTACTATAGATATATATATAAATATATATATATTTCTAAATGCTTTAAAACAGTGTGTAGCGAGTGTAACAGTGTAGACGAGTAGCGTATACCTATAAATTAGTGCAACAACATAACAATTTGTACTTAAGGTTTTAAAACAATTACTAACTGGAGCTCGAAATTAACCCATAAGAGCCTCCCATAGATACTTCGTAAGTTTTCATGCAGAAATTATATTTTGTCATGTTTTGACAACATGCTGAGATAATCTGTTCAGTTTTGTCATACGTCGCTTATCTAAAACGTCACGAGAACGAGATAAAGTTTCTGATCGACGTAATACGAGATTAACGAAACATAATATCGAAGAAGTCGAACGACAACTGTCATGACTAGTCAGTACTACCGGTTTATTCGAATCGATACTGACTGTGTCAATATTTGGTTATAAAGGGTGAGAGACATACAATTTCGAACTTTGAACAGCTGCAAATCGATATAGACATGTTCGTTTCCTTTTTCTCGATAATCTATTCGAATGAAAGTAATGCATAGTAGAACGTTTCAGATGCGCTGTCAAAGTGTAGCCAACTGCGCTTGCTCTTGTTGAACTATTAGATATACATAAGTTGGTCACTATAGTGATGTGAAATTGATTTCCGTGGACCTACGGACAAGACGGGAATTATCGCCGGTTTTAATGCTGGGGCTCGCCCCGGAGCCATTATCCGAGAATTATGTGTGTTTTATCGCCAGCTTATAATCATCTGTCACTATCGTTACAATATTTTCGTATAATTTCATCTCGCTCGACCTCCGACTAGTGATGTGACCGTTAAAAAAAGGTGTTCATAATTCTTAAAAAAAAAAGAAAAATAGAGAGAACCTGTTCTTTTCTTTACAACTGAATTTTATGCTTTATCATCAAATAACCTCTTTATTTATATTAATACTGTGTAATTGTTGTAATGTAATTTGATTTCTATGTAACGCGTCTTAAAAATGAGTTCAGTTTTATCTTTACGCCATATGAAATCGAACATCGCAATGAAATTGAAGGGTGATTCCCGATGGGAGACGTTATTAGTTGAAAAAAATAAATAAACCGATCATCGAATATTTTTCTCACGCAACAACAGACGGACGCGCATCACTACGGCCGCGGCCGAACGCCTCGTTATTTGTTGTTATTAGTGTCGTTTTTTTCGTACTTTTTTCTCCTCGGGATGTTTTCAAGAACCGGTTACGGAGTCTAATCTGATCAGTTCACCACGACCCGCTCCGTACCGGGCCGAGGAAAAAAGTATAATGCAACCGATATACAGTCAGCAACTCTATTTATTATACGATTTCCGTCTCAAAGCCCTTCGTCATAAGACTACAAATGTAACGCTTCCGTAATGCGTTTGCGAGTGCAAAGAACGATATTGGGACGTATTGAAGAGATACGTGAACTACAGAAACATTACTTTAAAATGTTTCGCGTGCTTAATCTCTCTGTTATCGTTTTAATGCGTTTTTAAGTAAGTGTTTGTATATAACACGGACGCAAGCAAAGTAATGTTTTAGCCGACAAGCGACTTTTCTGAGAACCGATATGTTTAAATGGTAATTACGTTGTCATTGAGATAATATTATATTAAACTTGTCCTTAAATCGGAATGCGATAATCGTTATTTCGCTCGTGCTGACTTCTTGGCGAGGGATGCGTTTGAGAGGATTGCACTTGGCTTAATGTCAATTACCTTGACTAAGTTAAGCTGCCTTGGATTATTTTCGTCACATCTTTTCGCTTAAATATCCTTATTTAATGCGATATTTTGAGCCATCGCTGTAGTTTATCAAAATATGTAATTAAATTATTTTGTCTGCAGGACAATATCTAGTAAACTAGGTAATATGTTTTATTAATTCTATAAAAATAGAGATAACCTTATTTAAAGACAGGGATCTAAAATCGTTGTTACACATACTCGTAGCAAAAGAATGCACAAATTACCGCCTGTTAAAATCACAGACCACGTCGACGGTACTAAGAAAATTTTAGCCACCGATCCGAAGTAAATACAATAAGGAACTATATACGACTACAAAATAAATTGTTTGAAATCGATACAATGTAACAAATATTAATCGATTGGTCAACTTACAAAACTAAATCAAATAAGTTGTTATGTAATATAATTTCGTTAAATTAAATTCATAAAACATGTCATTCGCTGTTAGTGAGAAACAATAAAACGATGATCAATAATGATGAAATATGGTATGAATAATTAGAGACCTTTAAATAATCGTGAAGAGTATTAAATTTTAACTCACGAATTAATAACTCAGAACATCATTATGGGATGAACGTTGTTCGCAGTGATCGGCAGCCGCAAATTTTAATTTCATGAATTCCACACGTAATCCGTTTTGAAAACGATTAATTTGTGTGTGAATGAATTATTTCACGCCCTTCCCGATATTATATCTCAGTTGTTACGGCCTGCATAATGTAGACAATTTAAATTTGTTCCAAATTTAAATATAATTTGTATTATTAACAGGCTGGGCTGTAGTTTGTTTTCAGTTACAGTCTTTACGTCTAAAGGTAGTAAGAGAAATCTATTATACTATCCGTATAAAATAAGAGACGAATGAATATGTAAATCATTCATTCTTGGAGGATTTATTCAATATCGTTCTCTAATCTAACAATGAAATGCTTATTACATAGCTTACGGTATGTAAAATATGTATTTAAATCTAAAATCATCATTATCGCATTTAAATCGAAACATGAAATAATATTATTTCTAATATAATTTGTAAATTAAATAGAAAGTCGATCGTTTTGACCATAAATCAAACGGTCGTACTAGATGCATTTCGCAATTATATTTTAATAGGGCTCTCATGTTTTTCTTAAAACAATTCAACTCAATATATGAATTGATGTTATTATCATAACATTAACCCCCGCGTCATCAGCCCTAATGAGTTGAGCCCTTCATTACAAAAAGTGATTGGAAGTCGACCTTTTTACATAAATATATATTATATATATAATATCAGGGTAGTTTTATCTTATCTCCTCGTCAGGGAGCCATAAATCAATAACCCTATACCTTTAACCGGACACAAATGTCATATACAAGTATGTGATAACACTTTTTTTTAACTTGGCCGAAAATTCAAACCGTGATATGCGATGTCTAGTAACAATCCACATACACTAGTTTAATTTCAATTTCAATCATTAATTTGCCATCTAAGTGTACATCTATACAGATAAATAAAATTGGAGTGTCTGTTCGTAATATTAAAATAACCGTTTCTTACTGAATGCATATGGATGTATACACGGTACATATACCAAAATAGCAGTTTGTACAATTTTTGTCTGTCTGTCTGTTTGTTCCGGCTAATCTCTTTTCTCTATTAGGCTAGTTCCCCTTTGGTCGGTCCAAACTTCCACTGACAGATAGTTGATGCAATAAGGAGTAACTTAGGCTACTTTTATTTTAGATTTTTTTTTATTTTTAGTTGAAGTCGCGGGCACAGCTTGTTATATATAAAGATGTTACAATAAAGAAGACTGAGATGCCCTTTCCAGGCACTACAAATGTTTAAAAGGACATTGCTCACTTAAAATTAATTAAATTAAACGCATTATTATAATTAACACTCATTGCAAACACGTTATTAATCATTTTATAATGGGTAGTGTACTACCCCTTATAAAATGAGGCTAGGTATATTCTTTTCTGTCCTCATTGGTCTAAATATTCTTTCACTGAATAAAACCGATTTTGTTCTCAAATAACATGTCAATTTGGTTTGTTAACTTGGGCAATTTAGTTATAACTTTCATTTCAATGGGTATTTTTTACCACTGATCATTCAAAATTCTTTTCTTGTAAATTGATCTACTTGAACGCATTATATATATACATATATTTATTTCATGTTGGATTGGTACTACTCAATAAAATTTTTTGAAATAATTACCTTCTGCAAATATGCTTTTTGTGATATGTGTCTGTAAGTTAGGGAAGTGATTTTCTAAACATAATACATACTGTCTCCGTCTGGTATAAATATATATATTTACGTAAATAGTGCTGTTAAAATAATATTTTCATTCGTACCGATGGTTATCTGTTCTTGATAATCAATTTGATTATCGCTCATTTATACACTTTCCAAGGACTTCTATCGATCGTGAATTATACCTATCAATTCTTGAAAACATTTCAATCGCAATCTAATCGCGATCAATCTTCAAATTTAATAATTCATGGTCGCGCTTTACTATTGTCTTGCATGAAACACGACTACTCTGTCCCATTCTGTGCAGTACGCCATTCATATCTCTCTCCCGCTCCAGCCCACAATTCGCGACTTACAACCACGTCTCGGCCTACCCGTCGCGATGCACGCTGTTTTATGTCATTATATCCAGCATCTAATTGGAACTTGATATGCGTTCACAATTAGACCGTCGTCGTTAGGAGATTAACGAGCTTTTTACACTTACGCTCAGAGCTGGCGTAAGTCATAAGCGTACGGTGTGAATGGCGCCTTAGTCCGAATTTTCGACGTCAACTTGCGTTCATAATATATTCGGCGTCGCTCAATTTTACTTCTTTGGTCGATATTATTTGTAGCTTTTGTGTCGATATTCGATACTAGCTGCTGCCCGCGACTACTAGCTCCAGGAGAACTATTCAGAGAGAAAGACAGATATTCTGAGGTATAAGCTATATTTTTGTAAAGTTTCATTAAAATCCAGTCAGTAGTATTTGCATGAAATAGTAACA